CTTAGGCCACCTCTTTCAGGCTGCTTAGGCCACCTCTTTCAGGCTGCTTAGGCCACCTCTTTCAGGCTGCTTAGGCCACCTCTTTCAGGCTGCTTAGGCCACCTCTTTCAGGCTGCTTAGGCCACCTCTTTCAGGCTGCTTAGGCCACCTCTTTCAGGCTGCTTAGGCCACCTCTTTCAGGCTGCTTAGGCCACCTCTTTCAGGCTGCTTAGGCCACCTCTTTCAGGCTGCTTAGGCCACCTCTTTCAGGCTGCTTAGGCCACCTCTTTCAGGCTGCTTAGGCCACCTCTTTCAGGCTGCTTAGGCCACCTCTTTCAGGCTGCTTAGGCCACCTCTTTCAGGCTGCTTAGGCCACCTCTTTCAGGCTGCTTAGGCCACCTCTTTCAGGCTGCTTAGGCCACCTCTTTCAGGCTGCTTAGGCCACCTCTTTCAGGCTGCTTAGGCCACCTCTTTCAGGCTGCTTAGGCCACCTCTTTCAGGCTGCTTAGGCCACCTCTTTCAGGCTGCTTAGGCCACCTCTTTCAGGCTGCTTAGGCCACCTCTTTCAGGCTGCTTAGGCCACCTCTTTCAGGCTGCTTAGGCCACCTCTTTCAGGCTGCTTAGGCCACCTCTTTCAGGCTGCTTAGGCCACCTCTTTCAGGCTGCTTAGGCCACCTCTTTCAGGCTGCTTAGGCCACCTCTTTCAGGCTGCTTAGGCCACCTCTTTCAGGCTGCTTAGGCCACCTCTTTCAGGCTGCTTAGGCCACCTCTTTCAGGCTGCTTAGGCCACCTCTTTCAGGCTGCTTAGGCCACCTCTTTCAGGCTGCTTAGGCCACCTCTTTCAGGCTGCTTAGGCCACCTCTTTCAGGCTGCTTAGGCCACCTCTTTCAGGCTGCTTAGGCCACCTCTTTCAGGCTGCTTAGGCCACCTCTTTCAGGCTGCTTAGGCCACCTCTTTCAGGCTGCTTAGGCCACCTCTTTCAGGCTGCTTAGGCCACCTCTTTCAGGCTGCTTAGGCCACCTCTTTCAGGCTGCTTAGGCCACCTCTTTCAGGCTGCTTAGGCCACCTCTTTCAGGCTGCTTAGGCCACCTCTTTCAGGCTGCTGTTTTCCCCTGCAAATGGTTAAGATGTATACGATGTAGCTTTCTTTTTCAGATTGTAACTGGAACAGAGTGTGCTTTGATAAAATGGCCATGTTTGCTTATGAAGTCAGTGATGGGGAATTGACCTGAAATTTATGCAAGCCATCTTTCTAAGCCTAAGCCTGAACATGTTTTAAACACATTCCAGTAATGATACTGATGTTACAAGCATCAGTAAGAATGTATCTGAGAATAATATTATTGAGTTGAATCTGTTGTCCTTTTGGTAAAGCAGTGCAAATACAGATCAGGTGGTACAAAGATTGAAGCACTTGGTACCAGTCGTATTAGACTTTATGATTAAAAGCTGAAACATACCTTTTTCACATATTCAAATATTAGTTCAAAGTATTTTTCCAGTAATGCTTACTGTTAATGGTCAAGTTGAATGTTACCTGCCACCTTGGTTTCTTAGGATGTCTTAACATGAATATTGCTTCTAGTTTTGCTCAGCTGTCTGTCATCCCTTTGGGCATCCTTGTATTAGTTTGACCTTCCTGTACGCTTCTTTGAAGAAATTTTCCCTCCTTGCCCCGCACCTTCTGTCTGTCAGAGAGAATTTTGTGCTTGAAATTATTCAAAAGTATTACTTGTATAGTAAACTGATACTTTTTTCATTTGTACTTGTGTTAAGAACTCTGTATTTATTTCTTAAATACTTTGCTTTTAAATTCATGTCTCTGTCTCTTCTGTGACATTTTCATTTGGACATTGCTAAAGACTTCCTTCTATTCAAAACTAATTATACTAACTCCTTGGATCATACAAAGTATTACTGTTAAATTAGTGAGGGGGGAAATTCTGTATAGTTTATGGTCTTGTAAAGTAGATCTGGATTTCGAAACTGTGCAGATAAATCTGTACATAGACTGGAAATCTGTTGAACTACACTGCTGGTTGGGAGTGGTGCAAATCTTAATGGAGTTGGCTTTGCTATAGCAAATTTCCGCTGTGGTGTATCTTCCTAATGTGCTTCTAGTCCTCTTTGTCTTCCTGTTGTAACCACAACAGTATTCACTGTTGATGAGCCTCTTGAGGATATCATTGGCACAAGCATCCAGGGGGTATTTGGTATTCTTTGAAAGGACTTGAAAGTTGTTACTTTCTCTCCAACTGTTGTCTCCTTGTCTGGAGAATTTAGCTTAATGAATATCCATGAGGGAGAAGAAATGAAGGCAGGCTGGCATGAAGCATTAGGAGATCTTCTAAGACTTTCTTTACAAAGAAGTCTCAAACCAAAAATAGGAAATGGTGATGGTGAAGACTGGAGGAGATAAGGTCTTGGGGAAATAATGTTAAACTGTCTTAGACACAATTCAGTTGGTAGGTCACATGGACACATGAACAAGTAATACTGTAATGTATGGCCTCAGGTATCTCTTATTCTGTTACTTTGTCTCTTGGGAGTCATCCCTCCCTACTACTTTAAATACAACTATCGCAAGAGGCTGGCTATTGCTATATCTGTTTACTATGTCTTCTGCTTCACTGGCAAGGGCACGGGCAACTGTTATTTCTGTAGCAGCATATTTGAAGGCCTCAGCTAACAAGCTATCTTTATGCTCATCTGAGATAGGAAGATGTCTGTAAACCATTTTCAGTGATGCAGAATTGAAGCACAGAGAAAAACTGCTCTTATGAGGAGTCTGGCAAAGCAAGGAGGAAAAAGCATTATCTCATGAGTTTCAGCATTGCAGCAGCAAAAACTGTTAAGTGCTAGCTAGAACTCTAGTTTCTTTAACTTAAAATGTCTTAAAACTTCTGCTTCATGATGCCTGTATTTAGTATAATAACTTTTTTCCATTTGGTTTCTGTACCAGAGAGTTAAATCTCAAAGAGTTAAAATTGTATGACTGAGATCAGTAATTAACAGTGGTGTCGGATATAATGATGATAATCCTTTTTATGCCGTTTCCTAGATGTAGTGGCACCACAGGGAAGCACCAAGCTGCTAGCCATCAAGGCACCAGCTGAATTTCCTAAAATGTTGTCTTCTAGCTCTCTCCTAGTATCTGAAAACAAAGGTGAGAGCACATCTAGTACTAACCTCAAGGAAGCTTCAAAACCTGCTGAAGACATGAGGATGTTCATGTCAAGAAAAACAGTGGTCGCATTTCCTCAGCGAGGAGTTGTTTCTCCTCTTGAGGAGGAAAACCTCACTACACCTGCAACAGAAGGAGGCTTGAGGAAAGAGTTAGTTGAGGAAGAAACTTCGTCTTCATCGAGCTCAGATTCTAGCTCAGATTCTGAGGAAGAAAAGGATGATGATGATTCAGAAGTTGCTATTAAAACCAAAGTTGAGTTTCCTAGACAAGATTCCATCTTTTCTGAGAACATAGCAGTAAAGGCATCAATACTAGCAAAAGAGAACTTGTCCCAAAAATCCCACAAAGTTTACATAGCTAGGAAGAAACCATGCAAACCAGAAACAGATGTGTCTCCTATCAAGCAAGTTGCATTTTCTAAAACATCACTCAGTCGTGAAACATCAAAATCCAAAGCAAGAAACCCCAGAGTAAAATCAGCTCCAAAAGTGGCAGATCAGCAGAAGCTGGTCTTAGAACCACATGTGGTTGAAAGCCAAGACCTGACTGATATCACTCATAAATCTGATTATTTGGAGGAAAAGTCCATTGGAACCCAAGTAGCAGCTCTTCAGCTGAAACCTTCATCAGTGACTCGGGAAGAGAAAAAGCAAAAACTGTTATCCAGAGGAGAAGAAAAAAAGGTGAAGGAGGCACAGGAGTCAGAAGCAGAAGTAGTAACTGCTCCTAAACTAGAAGAGGTTTCTGGAAGCACAGTGTTGGTGATGGGCACTGCAGCAGAGGAGGAGACCATTCAGGAAGCAGGAGTCCAAGCGGGAGAAAGAAGCACAATAGAGGGTACAACTTTAAATTGTTTGAACTGTATTGATTCATCTGGGCTAGGGTTTAACTTTTTTTAGAGGGTTTTTAAATCTTCATGATTATCTGATCTTTATACTGAAGCTGTGTAGCAGTGACTTTCTGGAAGATAAACTCTTGTTCATTGCTAATTGTTATATGTGCTCAGTAATGCTCAGTTTCCAGTTATGCTGTGAGAGGAAGTGGTCTTTATTTCACTGTATTTATAGTTTCATAAGCCAGTTACTTATAAAATTAAAACAAGATTGTTTCCACTGTGAGCAAAATCATGGGGTTTATGTGACAAAACTTGTTTTCCCTCTTCTCTCTTCTCAGAAGGATTTGGTCACTGCTTTTCTCCTGAGACAAATTTAATGCCATCAGATTTTTGCTTTAATCTTGTCTTTTCTCTTTCTTTTTTTTAAAAAAAAAAATCTTACAGTGTTTCAGATTTTGGTAGAATTCAAGAAATCACAGTGTAATGCCAGAAACAGGTACTGATTCTGAGATCGGTAGGTTGTAAGCGAGTTGTATTGAAATAGCACAGAGTTGACCTTACAACCCAGTTTTGGTAGTGAGTTGGGGAGAAGATGGTGATAAACTTTAAGAAAGAGCATTGTGTATCATATTATCACTTTCCTAGCTATACTTTGCTATCAAACTTAACCCTTGTTCTGTACTGCCAGTCCTGTTAACTAGGTACTGATCTCATTCTGTGTATTTCAATAGCAAATGCCCCTCTGTCCTGATCTGTGGTGGCTTACCATTCCTGCCTTTCAACTTAGGCAGCATACCATTCTTAAGGAACCCCCCAATCTGGTTCCTGAATTAAAGAATTTGCCTACTTGGAAGTAGAAGCAGCATATAATTGTAAAGCTGCTTGGATGTCATCCTTTCAGGAAAGGCCCTGGGTGTCCGGGTGGACACCAAGTTGAACATGAGCCAGCAGTATGCCCTTGCAGCAAAGACCATCAGTGGTAACCTGGGCTGCATTAGGAGGAGTGTTGCGAGAGGCTGAGGGAAATGATCCTTCCCTGGTGAGATGCACCTGAAGTGCTGTGTTCGGTTCTGCTCTCCCCAGTGCAAAGGAGATGTGGAGCTACTGGAGAGAGTAGTGAAGTGCAGCTAAGATTATGAAGTACCTCTCCTGTGAGGAAAGGCTGGGAGAGCTGGGAATGTTCAGCTTGGAGAAGAGAAAGCTCAGGGGGGATCTCATCAATGTCTGTAAATACCTGAAGGGACGGTGCAAAGATGACAGAGGGAAGACTCTTCAGTGGAACCTGGTGACAGGACAGGAGGCAGTAGGTGCAAACAGAGACACAGGGTTTTGCCTTTTTTTTTTTTTTTTTTTTTTTTAAATTACTGTGAGAGTGATGGAGCACCGGCACAGGTTGCCCAGATTGGTGGTGGAGTCTCCATCCTTGGAGACATTCAAACAAGCTGTCTAGACGTGATCCTGGACAGCCTGCTTTAGCTAACCCTGCATGAGCATTTAGGGCTGAGCCAGATGACCTCCAGAGGTGTCTTCCAACCTCAGCCATTCTGTAACATTGTGAAATGTCTAACCAGGTTAACTGACAAAGAATTGCTTTTGTCCATCAGTTTCCACAATACAGTGCTGAGTGAAAGACCTGCTTTCTGTTTTAAGGGGTTAGTTGACTCATAATTTGATGTAAGTTAGACGCTAAGCTTACCTTCTTCCATGACTGCAACTCAAATGGTAAAATGCAGCACTGTTTGCAAGTGACATCTTCGTTTACATGTTCCTCCTTGCAGTCAGCAGCAGAGGCTTGCTTTAAAAAAAAAAAAAAAAAAAAAAAAAAAAAAGGCTATTTGTACTTACCTACAGATGATGCTTTTTTCCCCATTCATTCACAGTGGAGTTCTAGATGCACAAGTATTGCTATTTTTTTTCCTCATTGAAGCTGATATGAAGACCCAAAAAACAAGTTAACTTCAAGTATGAGAGGAAGGTCTTGGTCTTAAAATGTGCTAATGATTCAAGGTGAAGATTATGACACATGACAGATCTATGAAACAGCCTCTACTCTGATGCTGCAAATTCAGAATAAGGTTAAATCCATGTGACAAACTTTTCCTGCAGATCTGTATCGGTGAGGCAGTAGTACCACTGTGCCTCAGACCCATCATCATCATCACCACATCAGCAAACCCCTTTTGGTAGGATCTGGCTTTAAAAATGTCACTTTTGCTGTTGAGCTCCTCTTGCTCTGTGGAGGTGGTAAGGCTGTGACAGCAGGGAGAGTTTCTGTTGGGTACATGCTAGAGGGCTCTGCTGCAGTGGCTGTAGGAGTGGTGGGGGTTAGTAAAGGCAAGTTCACACCACTTTACTGCTGGTATAATGTCTTTGGGTGCCAGAGGGTAGTGGAGAGTCAAACCTAGCTACACTGTGTTCAAGAGTCTCCCTGGTATCTCCAGGCATATCTTGTTCTCTCTTCCTTTTGAAGCCTTCTTTGAGAACAGCTACTGCTTTTCCATGTTTAATGATCACAGTTAGTGATACCTTCTGTAATCTGTCCTTCTGTCCTGTTCCTCTGTTCTTTTGTTCATCTGCAAACTGCAGCCAGCACACTGAAGATGTAAAAGCAGTTTTTCCCATTACAAACCTGGATGTTAAGGTGATGTCATCCACTTTGTAAAGCAGGCATGCTAAGCAGTCAGCAGAAACTGCTGACTTCAACTGCTAAGCAAGTAGCAAAATAGTAGCATGGTAACTCAGAAATATACCTCTGATTCATTTTGGAAGAACATCTTGTGAAATGCTTGCTCTTTAAGAGAGAAAGCATAGCTGAAGTCTGAAGTATGGGGAGGATGAACTCAGGGATAAATTTTTCATTCGAGAAGCCAAGTACAGTGTATTTGGGCAGGAAAAATGAGACTCCATCTGCTTTTCTTCCTGAGCATCTGTCTCTTAATTTGGAACAACTGTCTCTTGCAGGTTGAATGTACACTTGCCTACGCTTGCCTGTTCTTGGGGCTATTTGTAGCAAAGACTGCATCATCTGGCTTTTATATCTGTAGTGTTGTCTCCTGTGGGCTGTCTCAGTAGGAACTGAGCAGTAGTCACAGGGATATTTCTTTTCATAGGTGGTGTGTGTTGTTTTGCTGAAACCATGGCTTAATACATTGCATTTTATAAGCAAGTCTTGCTAAATGTTATGGATATATGCTCTTAAACAGCGTTACGTTGCAATAATTATGTCATAATTAAAGGGAAATTCTGGTGTTCAGTTGCTTGATTTCTTGTATTTTTATTGTAGACGGTTGTATTACTAAACGAAGCTTAACACAATCTAACCTGAACCGCTACATGCAAATTTATATGACAGCTTTTCACTAGATTATGCTGATGCTTTTCCTACTGTTAAAACTCTGGATATATGAGAATAAATTAATATTGGGAGTAAAGGTTTATTTCTTGCAATTTCCTTGGTTGTAAAATCAGCCTGTAATAGGAACCTTTTACGTAAATGGTACTGCCTCAGTTTGCACAATATTCTAAAAGTTTAAGAATTAATGCTGGATTTAATGTGAAGTAAGGAGTTCTGAATAACCTTATTAGGTTATTCTTTTAGGTAGAAGAGCTGATACAAAGTTCAGAAGATTATGTTTAGAAGAAAGGAAATTTATATCAAAGGCTCTTGGCATATTACTGTTGAGCATAACCACATTTGAAATTAAACTATGGAGATCTTAATTCCATCATTTATTCCCATGGAAAAGATTCAATCTGCAAAGTAGTTCTAATAGCTGTATCTCATGGTCTGACATGATGATACATCATTTGTACTGCCTCTTTGCCTCTCCTGGCTTGCTAAGAATTTCACCTACTGTTCTGGCTGGAGTGAAAACCAAGGCAACTCTGAAAAAGCAAGGAAATGCAGACATATGTCTTCAAAATATAAATGAAATGTTCTGTCCTGTCCACCCCCCGCATTAGGTGGTAGGTTGAATTTTAAAACCTGTGCTGTATTAGATTACTTGTACTGATTTCTGTACCCCTCCTGCATACTAATGTGCTGCTTTAGGACCAAACAAGGTACCAGCAGAACTTGGCAAACTTACCCTTTGGTTATAGTTACTGACCTCTTTTTTTTAATGTTGACTGGAAGAGGGATCATAGAATCACAGAATGGTTTAAAGATCACCTAGTTCCAACGCCCCTGCCGTGGTCAGGGGACACCTTCCACTAGACCAGGTTGCTCAAAGCTCTATCCAACCTGGCCTTGAACACTGCCAGGGAGGGGGCAGCCACAGCTTCTCTGGGCAGCCTGTTCCTGTGTCTCACCACCCTCTCAGTAAATAATTTCTTCCTTATATCTAATCTAAATCTTCCCTCTTTCAGTTTAAAACTGTTACTGCTCGTCCTATCCCTACACTCACTGATAAAAGAGTCCTTCCCCATCTTTCCTGTAGCCTCCTTTAAGTACTGGAAGGCTGCTACACGATCTCCCTGGAGCCTTCTCTTCTCCAGGCTGAACAACTCCAACACTCTCAGCCTGTGCTCACAGGGGAGGTGCTCCAGCCCCCTTATCATCTTCATGGCAGTATATGAAAGCTGGCTTGGTAATTAAGAATATTGTCCTCTGGTGTGTCATCTTTATAGTTACCTGTTACTGTTTGTTTTCAGAGACCACAGCAGCTGCTGAGCCTCCTCCAGAAGAATTTGATAATTCTACCTACAAGAACCTTCAGCATCATGAATATAACATTTATACCTTTGTTGATTCTGTTGCGGCGCTCTCAAAATTCAGGCAGCCTCAGCCATCTTCTGGAAGACCATCACCAAGGCATTGAAAGAACTACATTTCAAACAAATGCCCAGGCAGAATGATAAATAGTTCTATTTAGCACTGTTGCTTTGTATTATAAATCAGATAATAAATAAATGCGTGATAAGTTCTTGCTTCATGGAGTTCCTCACTTCTTGGCTTATATGAATGAGCTGCAGATGAATCATCACTAAAACAAAATAGCTTTTCTACCTCTTAGTATATATTTTTTGGTGATAGTGTAAAAAAAAGTCCTGACTTCTCAGTGTCTCCAAACTGTTGAAACTGACCATTCTGTCACTACTGTGCCATAATGGCCCTTGTGCATGTGCCTGTTCAGTATATGCCATGATTTTAATAGATATCATTACTGCTGTAATGCCCCAGGCTGTTCTCCTTGCACACAAACATGTTCCTAGCTCTGAAGAGGTTATGTTTACTCTGGATTTTAACTTAAAATCATTGGCTGGAAAGACCAATAAGAAGTATTTGTCTCCTGTGGCAAGAGTGTATGTTTTGTGTTAGTAGAGGAATGTAAGTTTGTAATGTGCTTGAATCATCTCAGAACCTCTGCTGTTGTAAAGGGAGAACATCCAACTTTATTTAATCTTCTGTTGCGGGTTCTAGCATTCTGTAGTAATTGAAATCGTTTAAATGTAAGAGAATCTCAGTGGGCAGTTCTTACTGGACTATACTACAGTGATTAAACTCTGACAAGTAGCGTATTTCTATGAGTAAAATCACTTAAATCTTATTATTAAATATGATGAAAATAGCATTATGGTAAAATCAGATCCTGGTACTAATTGTTCAGTGGGACTGTGTTTCAGTTCCCTTTTTTTTTTTTTCCCCACAATAGAAGATTGCTGTCCAGCTTCACTCTTGCTCTGCAGAAAATGTGAGAAATGAGGCACTTTTCAATACATGTTATCAGCAGTTACAGTTGCTCTCAGTAAATTTTGTATTTCCATCCTATTAGTAACAGTCTTCTGCCCTCTGGGAAAACTGCCTTGATGACCACCAGCTGTTGTGGGTTTAGTTCCATTTTGGCTTCTTGTTCATTTTGGGGGGGGTTTTTTTGAGTTAATTGGTCTTTGAGCAGTTGTGCTTGCAATAGCTCCAGCATTTTCCATCACCTGTCTGTATTCTTTCAAGCAACAGAATACGCAAGATCAAAGGGAAAACAGAGTCAGCTTTAGGAGTCTATCTGGATATTGGATGTAAATCCCTGGGTGCAATTAGTAGAACAGATATTTTATACTCTAACTTGGCAAAAATGTGGTAAGAAGGATCAAGAGGCCTACATCAATCTGCTGTGTAGAATTTTAATTCGGAAACCTCTGGCAAGCAATTTTATTGTCCTGTAAAAACTAAAAAGCATGTTACTGACTGAAATTTAAAAATCAGCAAATGTATAAATCCATGTGCTTAGGAATAAAGAGCAGAAAGTCACTTTGAGATACCAGTGGCACCACATACACTGTACTTGTAAAAGGGAAATAAATTTTCTGTTAACATTAAAGAATAAGGAAAAGGGTCTTCCTTTATTAAGGGCCCACTGTAGGGCCCCAGGAAAGCTGCTGTCTTTTGTTATTAACTGAGACTGTTCTAACCTGAAGCCTGTAGCTTAGATCTGTGTTGGTGTTGAACTGTGTTCCTAGCTGGTTTGTGATTACAGGAGGAGGCTGCAAATTGTTAGATAGAATGTAAACAGTAGAAGTTAAATGTAGTCCATTAATATGCTTATGTATTTACTAAATCTACCCACTGTAGCTGTGACTGTTAGCTGTTTGGAGTCCGACTTGTTCACCTTGTGCCGTTTTTGTTTCTTAGGAGGGTTGGTGTTATAAACACTGACTTAATCAGCTAAGGAGGAGTGGGTTGAAACAGACGTGTGTCTTCCTTTCAACTCCTGCACTTCCTTAGCTGCATTTCTAGCTAAGGAGATTCTAATCGGTATTTGGGCGAAGCATTTTGCTACCCTTGTTTCACGATTGCAGCAAGAATTTATGGTGAATGCCCTTCCTATCTGTGTAATTCTGTCTCGGCATCTTCTGGTGATCTTTTCTGCACCTCTCTGAAATCAAGCTGGAAGTCAAATAACTTCATAAATGTTCTGCTACATATGGTGCATGTCTTAGGTTTGTTCTGTTCAGTGAAGCAGTCTGCTCCAGGAAGGTCAGATAATGTGAGGAAGGGCACCAAGATATTTTCCCACTGTTGTGTTTTCCTGCACTTCAATGGAAAAGGCTTCATTTTTTTTGTACTGGGCTATTACCAGATGTTAATCTGTTTGAGTCATATGCTCGCATTTGAATTTCAATCAGGATGGGATACAATATGCTCAGATTCTGTAACATTAGTAACTTTGTCTTGCTGTGCTAGGTACTTGTCATACAGTCAGGGACTTGTTTTAAAGAATGTATAATCCAGGATATTAACATAATTCCTGGAAAACCTCATATATGAAAGAAATTAAGTGTCAGCTTAGTTTTTGTGAAAACCAGCTCTTTAAAATCAGCATAAACTTCAAAAGTGGGATTTTCAATGTAAATAGTGTGTTATGTGGGAGTACATGAAAATTTGGCAAGTGGAATTCACTAACTTCTCATTAAAAAGATGAAGCAACTACTTGTCAAAGGGAGTGGTTTTCAAACTTCAGGTCCTTTGTTGTTTTTTTTTTGTTGGTTTTTTTTTTTTTTTTTAGTGTAGCAAACTGCTAATAAAATTGCTTTTCATAATTTTCTTCCACTTAGAAGCTTCAAAAGTAACTTACGAGCCCAGAAGTTTCTGGACAGCAGTCGAAAACCTGCTAACCCAAGGTCCAGAAGTAGCAATGCAAGCGGAGTTTGTGGTGATTGCTTTTTTGGTCCTCGTGGTGCTTCCTTCAGCATCCAGTCATGATAAATACTACAATCTATAAGGCTATCTTCAAGATTTACTTTAGATGGGAAATGAGACTTTTAACTGGGTGCACTTACAGATCTTCCACACTATGTCCCCAGGTTTCAGTGATCCAAACACATTCAGTGCATCTCATTCTGGTTTCATGTAAACACATAAGCCATGAAAAGCTGTCCTTAGTCTTTCCACCTGCCACAAGAGATGCCATCATCTCAGCTACTTGTACAATTATGCTGAGTCTGCTCTTAACATGTGATGAAAAAATGGTAAGAAGTTTTAAGGCTATCTCGGGATGACGTGCAGTTCTTCCTTCAGCTGCTCACAGTAATGGGGAAGTGAGCTGAGAAGTCACCAGACTGTCCAAGTCTGCTGAAGATCCGTGGAAGAGCAGGACTTCTCAACTTTACGCTGATCTAAATCCCGTAGCTCATAAAGTGCTTTGGTGAGATCTTGTGATCTCGCAGCATTTGGGAGGAAGAGTAGGAGAAGGTGGTGAGAGCAGCCGCTTGTCTGTTCCAAACAGTTGTAATTCCTGGTGGGTCTAATCAATGGCTATTGTGCAGTGAGTGAGGGAGTAGAAAGCATGCTCACAGTATCCTGTAGTATCATAACATCAGAATTATGCAAATAAAGGTTGGAAGAGAAGTCTTGAGATGATCAGTCTGCTGCTCTGTAGCAGGTGCAATTAGATCAGGTTGTCTTGGACCTAGTCCAGCTGAGTTTTGAATGTCTTCAAGGATGGAGATCCTACAATCTCTCTGGTAACCTTCTCCAGCATTTGAACACTCTCATGATTTTAAAAAACCCAAAGAATCCTTTACCAGTTATCTAATTGGAATTTTGGTTTTCTGACACCGATCCTTACTACAGGTCTCTGACAAGCTTGGCTTTGTCTTTTCTGTACCTCCATGGAGGTAGCTGAAGCTCCCCCTTTTCTTCAGGACAGATAACTCTGTTCCTTCAGGCTCATCTTGTGCAACAGACTCCAGGTCCATTTGCATCTCTGTGTGGTCACTGTGCACCTTCAGAGCATCCTACTCTGTTCTGTAGCAAAGCAGGTTGCCTAAGTTGTCTCTGACTGTCTTCCTCCCCATAGTTTATGCTTCAAGGTATAACATGCTAGAAGGGGGGTTATGTTAATTTTCCTGATTTTTAGTGTGGAATCTTCTGCAGTGAATGGGAAAGGACCTGGGAGACTCCTGTTCCTCAAGATGCTATGCAGTGACAGTAGTGCAGGGCAAGTTCAGGTCCCCACTGTCCTGCTCTAAAAACAAACAAAAAAATCTTGGAATTGTTCTTGGCCCAAGTATTCGCTATCTGCCTGTGTTTTACAACCCTCCTATTCTGTATTGTATGCTGTTGTTTGCGTACAGAGTTAGACAAAAGGAGCTAACACCATGAGGGTAATACAGGCACTTTAGTACAGGTCCTTTGAACGTTTGAGTGACTGACTACAACCATGAGTTCTTGTATTGTGGCTTTGTTCGTTTATTTGTTTTAATTTTATCCTTTGAGAGAAACTCCTCTAAACTCTGGATGATTTTAATTGAACTCTTAGGACTCCTGACAAGTTTCCAGATAATCCTTCTCCTCTCATGTGGTTCTATTTCATGGAATTCTAAATACTTATTTATCTTTTTCTGTGATTCTATTGTTTTGATGCTTACATATTATCCTCAGTGTTCATCTCAAGATGATACCACTCCAAACATAATCTGCACTTATTTTTGAGCTCCCCCGTTCTTTTTTTCTACCTACACATACTCAATTACATTTGGAAACTTATACCCACCTCTGAAAGTCTTAGGATATGTGGCAGCTGTGGGATAGAAAAGACCCTGTTAATGCATAGTTAGGGACATAAGTTTAAGCATATATGTTTACAAACTCAAATACAAGAAGGAAGCCTACAGAGGGTGGAGGCAAGGACAGGTAGCCTGGGAGGGATACAGAGATACCATTTGAGCATCCAGGGATCAGGTTAGGAAGGCCAAAGCCCCCACAGAATTAAATCTTGCCAGGGAAGTCAAGGGTGAAAAGAAAAGCTTCTATAGCTAAGTAATAAAAGGAAGACTAGGGAAAATGTCCCTAGATTCCTTCCCTCTCCAGTAGGAAACTGGAGACCTGGTTATCTGTGATATGCAGAAGGCTGAGGTACTCAATGACTTTTTTGCCTCAGCCTTCAGCATCAAGTGCTTGAGCCACACCACACAAGTTGCAGAAAGC